ACACACACACAAGTGTTAGTATGGTGGTTTACTCATTCACCTAACAACATCCCCAGGTTTGATCCCAGAATGATGCACAAATCTCTATTTGGGGTTGCATCAGGAACGGCACCCGGTGTAAAAAAATAATAATAATAATAATAATTTTATCTGCCGAATCAAACACACGGAGCTGCCTGCTATGGCAACCCCCTTGTGAATAAGGGAGCAGCTGAAAGCAGCTATATAAAAAGCAGTGTTACGTTTGTTGAGGCCTCGCCCCGAACTTAGCCTGGCACACCTTCTCGTCCATTTTCCGGAGCAAAGATGGGACGAGCGATCAGTATGAGGGCAAGCAGATAACTTTACTGTGGGGTGTTCTCGACCGACATATTGAGCGCGTTCCATTTGAAGGAGGCACAGTGACGGTAACGCACAGAAACCTTAAGACGTGAATGTGAGTGGTTTTGAGATGTTTTCTGTTTTATAGAAATCACCTTCACAATCCCGAAGGCACTGAACGATTATAGTGAAGTTATGCTTTGTGTGTATGATGGTGCAAATACATGGAAATGTAACTGAAATGCTTTAAGAGTTTGTTTTCAAGTGTAGTAAGTAGATTTTTTCTTCTTCTTCATTTTCAGATGCTTCTGTAGTAAATGCTTGATTGAGATGGTTTTACTGACACGTTTTCACCGTCACGGCTGAGTGAAGCAGTTAATGTCACCTCAGTCCAAGTCAGACGCTCGATCGGGCTTTTGAGGAAGCTGTTGCGACAGCAAACTTAAGTTTTATTTCACAAATCTGAGCAGTTATGCAAATTTACTTCTTGTTTTTCTTTTTCTTCAGAACTCTGTTTCTCATTTTTACCAGCAAATTAAACAAATTAAGTTTCATTCTATAGCAATCAACACTTACTTCTTTTTTTTCTGTCCATTTGCTTTCACTCTTTCTCTCCTAGCATGCACTCACGCAGTTAATCTGTGTTAATCGAATGATTGTATGGTTGCTATCGCTGCACAACTGTGGAACCAAGGTGATCTGGGAGATTTTGTCACTGACAGCAGATGGAGTTTCTGTACGTGCTTTGTTAACTGTATCCATTGGGCATTCGCCTAGAGGCAACAGAGCTACCCTTGCAACACAGTGCTGACTAACAGCCTTGGTTAACACACAGTAGGAATCACACGCAACCTCCTGAAAACGACCACTGATTAAAACTCTTCTTCGAGTGTGTCTTGATAAAACATGTACTGTGTAGTTCTGTTCAAAGAGAATTCTGCTGTATGTTTTTTTAAAGGTTTTGATCTCTAGACTTTTAGTGAAATTTCTACATGAGATGAATATGCTGTATGTATATGTTGTGTATATCTGCAGTGTGCACACACGCACACTGTCAAAAGAATCCGACCTGCGCTGCGCGTAGGTTTTGACTTGCTGATGACTTTTGCCTCATAGAGACGGGAGATAAAAGTGGCTTTCTGGTTCATGTGAAGTAGAGGTTGGAAGTTTGAATAAAGAAAAAATACTAAAACAAATGCCGCTGCTGTTTTTGGTGTGGTTACTTTTGAGTTTCACAAATGCAGTAATGCGTGATAAGAAAATTAATATTCATGAAAATCTGGAATTGAATCACAAAAACGGATCCTTAGTAGATTTGAGAATGAGGTAAATACAACCTCATTCTAAGATAAACAGCAACGCGTGAGCTCTTACTGTCAGGATATGTTGTGTTAGGACCCAAGATGGAGAGGTTAACAAAAGGCATTATTGGATTGATGGAAATCTACATAAGGCCAAACACAAAACGATGCAAAACAAGTGCAAACTATTTCAATTCACGAGGGACCAGAGATCAGAATGACGCTAGAGAACTGAACTACGCTCTGACAACAGAAAGAAAGTGTATAAATACACAGCGGGGAGATTAGAGCAGAGAAGAAACACCTGGGACACAGTACCAAGACACAGGTGGACAGGAAGTAACTGATGAGAGGGAGGAAAACTGAACACAATGCCCACGAGGCTAAGGATTAGCAAACTAAAACAGGAAACATAAATAGAGAGTCAGGGACTATGGAATGTGAACCTGACATGAACACATAAACTAGACACACATTAAAGGTAAACAAACATGGAGGTGGAAGCTGACAACACACTGAGATGAAACAAGGAGCGAGTGGACAGAAAAGGGAACTGATACTATTTAAAGAAGAACTGACGACTACTAATATAAATAAGAAAACTCTGAAAAAAAACACAAAACTCAAAAGAGTAAATAGCATAGAATTAGAATTTGCTTCACAAACCCAAAAATAAATGGAAAAAAATCAATCAGTGACTCTGACAGTCTAAGAACCTAGCACCATGTCGCTTTTAAGAAGTGCAGAAGCAGCACATGAAAAAAGCAAAGTACGCCACATGATTCAGTAGTTTCTGATTCTTCTCTATAGTTTTTGTTGATTCAGTTCAGTGAGGTTTCATTCTTCTAAGTTTAAGCACAGATCTTCCACCACAGCATTTCAATCAGGTTGAGATCTGAACTTTGTTGCCACTGAAACACTTTGATTCCTTTTTTTGGCCATTCTTTTGTAGATTTGCTTCTGTGCTTGAAGTCATTGCTGCATAACCCAGTTTAGGAAGCTTTAGTTGTCAAACAGATGGCCTCATATTTGACTCTAGAATACCTTGGTATCCACAGGAGCTTATAGTCGACTCGCCAGCTGCCCAGGCCCTGTGGCTGGTTGGTATGAGGTGCTTGTGCTGATTTTCTGTCTCTGTCTTGTTCTCCAGACATGGTGCTGTGCATTATTGCCAAGCATCTCCACTTTAGTTTTGTCTGTGCAAAGCACATTGTTCCAGAAGAATTTGTTCAGATACAACTTTGGAAACCTCAATGGAGCTGCCCTGTTTCTTATAGAGAGAATGGGCTTTGTTCCAGCAACAGTTACAAAAAAGGCATATTTGAACTGTCATGGTCCTGGGTCGGTGACCCAGCGCTTTAAGTTTATTATTATCATTTTCTAGTTTATTGTTATGATTATTATTTGAGTTCTCTTCGGTCTGCCTCTGAGTCTGCGTCTGTATCTCTGTCTATGGTGTCACCCCATCTGTTTGTGAATCTGTCTGTTCAGTTCAGCGTCTTGTCTGGTTCTCTGTGTCTGAGTTTCCTGTTTTATTGTGAAGGTCTGTGTCTTTTGTGAGTGTACCCAGTTTACGTTTCCCCTGTCTCGTCAGCTGTGATTTCTCCCAGGTGTGTTCCCCTCCTGTCTCTCATCCCTTGATTACTGCCATCTGTGTATTTAAGCCCTGTGTTTCTCTGTGTTAGTGTCGCGTCGTTAACGTCTGCTCACCCTCAGATTTCACTGTGTGTTCCGTTACCTGTTATGCCTGCCTGTTAGTTTATTTTCCCCCCAGTGTAGTTAGTCTTTTGTTCAGTCTGCAACCTGCAATAAAGCTGTTTATTTTGAGTTCAACTTTGCCTCAGTGAGTCCTGCATTTTGGGGTCCTTCCTTCCTGCCTGCCTGCACACAGCCATGACATGATCAGTGTTTTTTATTTGTACTATGATGAACTTTAACATTTAGCATGTTAACTGAGACCTTTAGAGTCTTGGGATTTTCTTGTTTTGGATTTCTAAGATTCTAAGATCGTTGCTGATGTCTTTCCTCTGTGGCATCATGTTAACACACACCTGAATTCTCCAGACAAACAAAGTGCCAACACTTCTGCTTTAATGGAGATGTTCACACTAATTCAGCTAATTCAGTGCATTTCATTGGCAGCACCCAGCCCACACTCTTAATACTGTTAAGAAATAATCATGTACTTAATATTTTGCACACTGCTTCTGCATCGTGCTTTAATGACGCGTTTTAATATGTCATGTCTTCTTGTTGTTGTATAACTTGCTAAGGACCGAATAATTTTTATTATATTCTGATACCTAAAACCTAAGAATTTAAAGAGCATATACTTTCTTTTGTCTGCGGTTGCTACAGACACAATATGTTTGACCTCAGAAGACTTAACAGAGAGAGTAGTATTGAGGAAAATAGTGTGTGACGCATGGATGAAATATTCATCTGTTACTGCACTCAAAAAAATAAAATCATAAGACTTTTAAATATTGATGTCATGTTTAAAAGTGTTGTTATTTTTAGGATTTGTACCTACAGAACAACTCTGACATAACCTTCCGCAGTCAGAAGAGATGGCTCACGTGATTCTTACAGCTCCCTGTTGTCTCATTTTATGTTTCATAAATTGCCTGTTAATTATTTAATTATGACGCCATAAAAACCGCAGACATGTGCATGTGCGAAGTAAAAGCCTCAAAAAATGCTAAATAATGGTAGTGAATGAATTGCTTATCCTGTGTATTGTTCAATATTTGGTGTCTTTCGGCTTCCGCTTTCTTTTCTTTTCTTTTCTTTTCTTTTTTTTTTTTACTTTCTTGCACAGACTAAACAAAATCGTGCACTTTATAAAACATTCATAAACATTTTTACAGCGTTGATTGGAAGACGTGTTCTGCATTCCTCAGCATCCAGAAGAGATGCAGCACCGCGAGCAGCGGGGGGTGAAATGAAGAAGGAGGAAAACTTGTTTCCCTCAATAAATCATGAGTTAATCATTTGCTATAGACAACACATGGAGATGAGGTAGATCAATACAAACTAGATGTTGGTGAAAAGATATGTGACGATCAGATTATTGGATCCTCTTCACTTGATGTCCTTTTTTTCTGTCTTGTCGTTGTTTAATTCATTTCTCCGTTGGCGACGTTAAATTGCTTCATGCGTTTTACTGCCTCCTGAAGAATTACATTAGTGTAGGTCCATGATGGGAAGATGGGTGAGGTCGACGCCTCGCTGTCATGAATCAAGGGGGATGGGACATCGTTTACGCGCATCACCCCGCCAGCCCCTCGTGTCCAATGAAGGCTGAGAGTGGATTTACAAAGGGGCGGATGGCTCGAGCCCCACTTTTTCGCTTTGGCTGGTCGCAGAGGGCGGAGCTCTGTTCCTGCCGTTTGACAGCTGCGAAATAGAAAATGTATAGCGGATAGACAGTCTGGAGAACCATGCAGCTCCAATGCAACCATACTATCACAAGGAATGGGATACAGCATGGCCCTTTATAGCCTGCGCTTGCCCTCGTAAATTTGGGTCAACTGGAGAGCGCAAACTACAATACAAGGGAACTAAGTAGCTTTCATTGCACATAATTCCTGGATCTGAGAGGCATGCATCGTGCCTTCTCGTATCCCGTAACTGTGGAACGCAGTCGAACCAAAGAGCGCTTGGAGGCGTGTTTGGCCGGGCTATGCGAACTGGAGCTCCGCAGACAGCGGCAGGAGTGTCTGGTTCTGGGGGCGCTGGCTCTCGGAGACCCGCTTGCCCAGGAAAGCTCCAGAGGAGAGCTGAGATGTTTCAGCAGCTGGGGCCAGGAAAACTTGACACTGAGACGTCAGCTGGTAAGAAGTTTGTGTTGAGCCTTTTACTGCACTGTATGTTTGCATTCCAGCCCTCCCGCATTACCCCACCCTGTGATAAAAGAACTCCACCTTATACCCCTGTCATGTATCACAACTCTACATACTTTTGAATATCTAATAGCCTTCAGCTTAGACTCATTGAAACCCGCTTGACCGCTGGATGGTCTTCTAGTTTGGGCAGCGCCTTTTGTGCTGCTGTGAAGTCTAGCTGCAAAGGGAAAAAAGTTACTCAACTTGATTAATAGGGTCTCTGTTTGAAAGGGTGTAATGCGTTACTCTGCTTTTTGGCTGAGATTTATGCCCCTGGGGAACGAAATCAGGGGGTGGAGCAGCCGCCGTTTGTGCCACAGACCGACTATTTAATGGCCCATTGTTCCCTCCGCCTAGACTTTTATATTCCACTTAACAAGCTCTCATTTGTACTCTCCGCACATCATAAATGGATGAATTATTCCTCTTGCTTTTTTGTTGCTGGTGGAGCTAACGTTTTTATGTGAACATTAGCATCCGTGTAATTGATGGAATGTTGTTTTGTTTTTTTTATTTACGTGACGCTCAAGCAAAATAAGACCGATATGTTGCCAGAGTAAAACGGGCGGGGAGGGGGGGTTAAAACTGGTTCTATAACGGCAAATAGAAGTTTCACTAACAGCATTACATCAGCGGTTCACACGGGGAGTTTCACGCACCAGTGAGCACTTATCTGCGCTGAAAACGGTTCTTCTTCACTTTCTCTCTTTTTTTGCCCAAGTTTTTATGTCTCGGTGAGGTTTAATTCTGTTTTAACTTCTGGTGTTGTCTCAACATTACTACAAAAGCATGGCATTATTAAAGAGGGTGGAAAAAAGGGAGAAATTAAATCAGCCTCCTCCTCTTCACATCTCCACCCTCCCTTCCTTCTTCTCCTCCTCCTCCGCCGGGGCCCTAACAATAGGCGCATATGGAGCAGAATACTAATGATGGTGATCGAGGCCCCAGTGAGAGGAAAAGGCGCACATAGGTGGCTCTCCGCACTGGCTTTAGAAATATGACATGATATTATTTTCTGTTAAAAAATAAATTAATTAATTAACGATCATCATAAAGTGAGTTTTTCGAGAGTGCCACGCGCAGTTACGCTCACATCCGGTGCTGTAGTAGCTGCCAGCGCATTTCATCCAGTCTCCACATCAGCTGGAGAGTGACGAGTGAAGGCGAGTGAAGGAGTGACACGAGTTTCCTCACAAGGGCGCATAATTTCCCCGTTTTCATTTCTGCGCAATCCGCCTTTGGATCGATGTTTATTAACTGTTGCGCTCATCCAAGCGTGTGAGTAATTACACGGGAAAGTCCTGGGAGAATATTTGGACCCGACAGGACTCTAATTGAAGCCTCAAATTGAGTCTTCGTGATATCAGGTCACCATCTGCGTCCGAGCCAAATCCCCAATCTCATTTCGCGTGTAGGTTAAAGTCTGCAAAATGTATAGTTCACGGTGTGACATAGAAACAACTGACCCATGAGACTGACAGCGTGTGTGCCTTGAACATGAATGTGGCAACAAACAGGCTGAGAGATGCAATTTTTTTTTCTTCTTTTCCCCCTTCTTCATACAGTATGTGGTGTTGAAGGTGTTGACAGCTGTGGGACGCCAGACAGCAGCTGGGAAAGCACGAATCTCTGACCTCCCTCTCAGCTTCCCTGCTGTGTGTTTTTGGAGAGAGTGGAAGGGATTATATGAATTTTGTATGAATGTGGCACACATACATCCATCAGCGGAGAAGTGTTTGATTTTAGGGGAGAATATGTGCTCTGAAATGTTATTTAATCTCCTCTGAAGAATATTAATTGGCCTAGGGGATTTAAACCACATTTTTAATTATTGCATGTTTGGGCACATAGAAAAAAAATCTTTGCATTCTACAGGATTGTGTGTTTGTATCTACAGTGGATTTTGCTATTGTTTTGTGTCTTTGCTGAACTGCTGGCTCATCATCAATCAGGCTGTGTGTGTCCTTGTTTTAAGACAGCAGCGCATCATTAGTGAACGTATAGTCTGCTCAGCAGTGACTGATCACTCGCATGATGGTTTACTGCGCTTTGTTCTGGCGCACAAACAAAAACCTCAACCGGTTTTTGTTTGTGCTCTTTGGTTTCTTTGTGTACACAGCCGTTCTAGCAAATAAGCTTCAGAAAACATACAAATTATATGCACACAGACGATACACACGTGCAAACATTATGATACAAGCGCACTTTGAGATCAACTCTCATTTAGTTATGCAATTTTCAGTCACATGAGCACAGCCTGTTTCAAGTCTTTCTTTAAGGATTCCCTTTGCAGGCCATGCACCCTGCTGCTGTGCCTACGAGCCACTGCGCACACTGAACAGATTCAGAGGAAACTAATTAATACTATTCACAATGCAATGGATAAACTCTTTGTGTGCGTGTGAAGAACTTCCTCCCAAAATCACTGAATATATTTTACCAAACTAAAACAAATCATTTAGAATGTGTCCACGTGCTCTGAAGAAATAAGAGATCAGTAGCTGAGCAAACACGGGGGGCAGGGTGCCCTGTGTTTGTGCATGTGCTGTGCATGTGTGTGTGTGTGTGTGTTTCCGGCCTCCCACTGTGGATCCAGTCACAACATAGCTTTAATTATAGAGAGTCCAGCAGTGAGGCTGCATGCTTTGTGCTCTCTGTTCAATAGATTTCTTTATCCTGGCAATATTGTTTCAAAGACCCACCGGCCTTCACTGGTCATTGGTCCTTTCTAAAAAAAAAAATACAGAGACACTTTTGCCTGCTTCTCTGTTGTCTTGCAGCAAAACCCAATGTGTGACTGAATTTGAATGTATCTTTCTATATCAACATAGACAATCCACTATTATTAAACTCTGCAGCATCACGTTCTGCATACATACTAAAGCGCAGTAGCTAATGACAGGAATATTTGCCCAGTCACTGTTCATGTTCCTGGTTTCACCTGGCCTCACCTGCTGCTCAGTGTTTTTCACTGAGAGAACAGGTGGTCCTGATGTGTTGTACAGCCACAGCAGCTTAATGGCTATAAGTGAGACTGGCTGCACAGTGTTCTTCATCTCCCCCATCCCCCAGCAGCCTGCAGGATGCAGTAAAAAAAAAAAAAGAAGCAATAATACAGTGTGCAGCATGTCTGGGAACCAGTGTGAGACCTGTAATAACAGAGTGCAGTCAAAGCAAAATGTCACAGTATAAACCAAATGGTTTGTTCATCCACAGAGATTTGTTGTTGTTTTTTTGTTATAAATTAATATCCAGCCCTGTGGCTTCTACAGTGTTTGTGCATATGTCCACAATTAGATGGCAGTCAGTTACCACTCTGAAATAGCATCATTGATTTATTGATTTCCAATAGCCTCCCCTCCTCTCAGCGTTTCTTTACCACAAACCAGCACCCAACGTTTCTGCCGTACAAAACAGTATTGATATAGTGATGCTAGCGCTTTGTTTATAGTAAGACAATAAGGCCGCTAGCAGAGACAAAAGAGGTGACAGTATTTGGGGTGAAGAGGTTGTCTGTGCTTCCGTTATGATTGCATTAAGTCTGCAGGACAGTGGAGTTAGAGCCTAAAGGCACTGACAGAGATCTCTCAGAAACATTGAGCCACTTCCTGTTATAAACATTGTCTTTTCACACATTACTGTTCTGAATAGATAATAACAGCACTGTAACACAAAAAGAATGATCATGTCTATTTGTTGATCTTTTTAATTTGATGTTAGCATGCCACTATGTCGCTTGCACAAAATGTTACAGGGAATGTTTTGCAAATGAATGACTACCGTTAGATCAGTTGTGGTGAAAACATTTGTAAAAACGGCCTGAGATTTTAAGATTAAATGAGCATGTATTTGACCCTAATGCAGTTTGTTTATAGACCACATAGAGGAGTAGAAAATGCCACAATACTTAAACACTTTTAAAGTTCTTATGTTCGATTACGTTGGGTGACTTTTCGTCAGCTACAATTCATTACATTTTAATCAGAAGTCTTTTAGAGCAATCTGTGGCTGATTGATGAGCAACAGCTGAACCTACCATCCCTGTATAGCCAGGCATTTACAGTGGTTGGCTGGTTCAGTTGTACTTGATGACTTACACCTTTGCATAGTGAGTGTGCGCTTCTTCCTCATGGATGAAGGCTTCAAGTCCCAAAGTGGTGCACAGCACAGCTTAAAAGCCACTTTGTTCCAGCACCACCCAAATAAACAAATCCCTGCTTTGATGCTGTGTTGATTCTCTGATATTATTTATTTATGTATTTATTTATTTACGTATTTATTTATTCAGTATTCTGCATTATCTTTATCTGTTGTCTGTTAATAATAAAGTGCATTCTTAGAGGATTTCTAACGAGCTTCTCTGCATGTCATCCAGCTACATGTGTCGACAATGACAGAGCTCAGGAAGGAGTTGTCTGTCGTGAGAAGTGTGTAATGGGAAAAGTGTCACCTTGTTATGAGGGCACGCTCAATCGCCTGGTAATGAAGTCTCTTAACGAGCGTTGCGTGTCAGTCATATTAAATCCAGCCATCTAAAATGCCTGTATTAGGTCTGCGTGTATCAGAGAAGGTATTACTCACGTTGCTGACACAGTTTGTTTATAGACTCAGATTCTGGGTACTTGTCTTCCTCACAAGTGCAACAAGGAAGGGTTAGGTTGTGACAGCTAGCTGTCATAATGAAAGATAGCCCGCAGGCAGTGAATCAAAGTCCATTTAATGTCCTCTAAAGTCTTGCAAACAGAGCTGTCTGTGCACTTGTGTTAACCCATTCAGGTAGGCGGGCATGGAAATGCGTGCCCATGTTAAGTGTGTGTGTCACATGCTGTCAATATGACACCAGCAAAAAATGATCAGGCTGGATGAACCAGCATGTTTAATTACTCGGTTTTACCACAAACAGATGGGTAAATGGGAGGGTGGGTGATTGTAGTGGTTTGAGGAAGGCTGTGTGAGGTAACGGGGTGGGCTTCCAAATGGTAAACACACAAGCGTGAGAACGACAGCGTTATTTATTTATTTGTTTTGGGGGGACTTTAACATATGTTTAACATATACCCAGTCTCATTTGTTGCTGGTTTGAGCTAAATGAGCAATTATTTGTATATCTGGCTTGTGAGTGTCTGCAAGCACGTGTGTGTGTGTGTCCACCCCACCCTCCCTCTTCCCCCTCCTTCACAGTGCTATGAATTATTCATGTTTCAACCGGCTGCCTCTTCAGTAAGCCTGCTTTTATAAATGATGGTCATGTGATGGCCACGTTTCGATTTTGCACACTTCTGCATCAGAGTTTTGGCTTTGTTATTTTGATTTATTGGTTTTAATATTTTCAGGCATTATAAATTAGGAACAATGTTGCAGCTGGAGGAACAAGCTGCGAACGATTCACAGCTGTGCTTCTGCCATTAGCATATCCAGAAAGCACTCATTAAACTACAAACACTGCTGGAATTTTTTTTGTTTTTTTGCTTTGTTCCTAAAATCAATCATTTTTGCTTCGTACTGTCTACTTAACAGTTATTTTCCCATCAGTTCAACCAGTTACAGACCACAAGAAAATAGTCTGAATGCATGTTTGTCTGTTTTTCAGAGTGCTCTTCAGAGCTCCCCATGGAGTCTAATGCAAACGCTGGAACAGCAGGTGGGAGAGCTGAGGATCGACGCTGCTGATGACTGTTGTGACAGAGCCCAAGGAGAAACTGGCAACAGTCGACCGAGTTCTGGTACTTATTTCTGCAAGGCAGTTAAATCAAAGTGAAAACACACTATATAATTCCCTTTTTTCAGTAAATGAAGTTGTTTTTTTCCAGAGTGTTGCTCAGCTGAACGAAACTTGTGTTCTTTGTATTTCATGTTTGAGTCTCTGCTCTTATTGTTCCTTTATGCTCCAGTTGTTTGTGATTTTAATCTGTGGCCTATTTGTGAAATGCAGTGAGAAACTTCATATTTTTTGAGGAGTGGAATGAGTTATAAGAGATGAGATGAGCCTTTCTTTTTTTATTGGTGCCTTTGCCTCACAGCAAGAAGGTCCTGGGTTTGAGTCCAGTTTGAGGCCTTTGTGTGTGGGTTCTCCTCCCACCGTCCAAAGATATGCGTGGGATGTGGTTAATTCTGTTCAGTTATGATCAGAAGTTTACATAGACTCATAATCTGTGTGAATGTTATGGTAATTTGAGGATTTTAAAGATTTCTTTGAACCCTTCTTTTTCCAGAGTAAAATGATTGTACAATATAAGGCCTGTTAACCTCTCACTAATTAGAAGTTAATATGCTTTGTTGTTGTTCAATTAAAAGACATTGCAGAACCTTCAGCATCACTTATTAAAAGATTTAAGTGACTGTGCATATATGTGCATATATGAGCCTGTATGTATCCTTTTGACCCTGTGTACATTCAAGAAAATCCCAAACCGAGTCATTTAGGATGCATGCTGTGCAATCATTCCACCCTGGAAAAAAAACAGTTCAAAGAAATCATTAAAATTGCAATGAATTAATTACACAAATTACACTGTGTCCTAGGTTTCTATGAATCAAGTGAAGGTCAGTCACCAAAAGGAAAATCTTGTACCACTGAGCCCACAGAGAGTGTCTCCTCCTGGGCTTACACCAGTGACAGGCCAAAGTCTGTGGGTAAGCAAGACTATCAGACGTGGAAGATTTGAGATATTGTGAAACCTGCATATGTGCTCTTGTTGAAGTAAAATGATTAACATATTAGCACATACTCTTTGCATATTAGCATGAGAAAACAGCAGACTCTTAGTCAACTGTCTTTATGTGAAAGAGGCTTAATAAACATTGGAAGACTTATTCTTTTTATTTTAGGGTTTTCTGTAGACTGGAGTTTGGCTCTGTTCTGATTACCATCTTTTTAGGTCAAAGATGACGATGCGTCAGACCCAGCCTAATAACAAGTTCAATTCTGTTATTTGTCTTTTTGTTAAATGCTAATATTGCAAATGTATGGGAACAGACTGAGAGTGGCATGGCTGCAGACTCTTAGTTTTGAGATTATTTATTACTGTTTAACTATTAGAACTTTTATTGATCACCTCGTAATGTTGCATTCAGGATGATTTTACTTACTACTTCACTTATTTCTCAATATTTCTCTCTGCAATCAGGAGACCCCCTTATGCTGGATGGAGAATTTGATGCACCACTTCTACGCACCACGCTACCCCGCTCTTTCTCTGCCCCCTACCCACCTCTTGAGGGTATTGCTGAGGAGGGCACTGCCGTGGACTCCTGGCAGTGGGACCCCAGTGGAGACAATGGTGGCTGGGAGCAGCAACCTGAAGAGGATCAGGTCACTGAAGAGGACTATCAGCTGGCTTTGAAGGTAGAGGGTTACATCCTGAGTCTCATCCAACGCCATACCCTCACACCAAGACCTTGTCAGCCTCGCACCACTCTTAGCCCTGACCCCCCATACTGCAGTGGCTCTGGACACAGCTCCCTACACAGGATAACTCCTTCTTTAACCACAGAACACCGCCCTTCTGATCCTCATCTTCAGCCCCATGGTGACCTTTCTACAAATCCTAATGGCCAGGGATGGGGTTGTGACCTGGAGCGAGAGGCCTGTGGTGGGGAGGCCCCATCTTTGGAGGAGGACTGTTATTTAGCTCTGCCCTACCCCCAGCCCAATCTAATTTCCCTGGGTGGAAGGCTACCATCCCCTCCGCCCTCACTGGACCATAACTGTGGAGTTGGGGCTCTTGACCTTTGTTGTGAACCCCCATCCCCCCATCATTATCTACATCCACAGCCCCCTATTCTTCACATGCACAGTTTAGTAAGTGCTCAGTATATTCCTGGACAAGCCTGTCATGCCCCTCTGTGCTCCCCAAGACATTACAACCAAGAGCAGCCAAAGTCCAACCAAGTTTTCACATCTCCTGATCACCTCAAGTACAGAGCATCTAAGAAAAATCACAGCGAGAGACAGAGATCCAAGAAGTCGAGCAGTAAAACCAATAGATCCCAGTCTGAAAACAGCCTCCTGGGTCAGCGGGTGCTTCCAGAGAGGAGGTACAGCACCACAGAGAGGCCCCAAGGCAGAGGTGATCCTCATACACTGCCTCACAATCAAAACCAGGTTGTAGGACACCAGGTGGTCAACAACGGCCACAACGAGAGCCGACGCTGGCGATCTAACCTGGAGCTCAGCCAAGATGAGGGGGAAGTCCAAGCAGGGCAGGTACACAGACGACCACCTCGAAAAGTTCGCCACGGCCCTTCTTGTTCCCATTCCCAACCCCAGAACTACCACCAACAGCAGCACACCAAGCACTGGCAGCAGGACTTTCAGGAAAGTGCACCTCTCTGTCAGGGGGAGGAGAGCTACGGTGGTGCTGCCCCCGCAGAGTCCGAGTCTAGCATGAGCGAGGTATATTCTCCAGCCTCCAGCTCACTATCCAGCGACTCCGATGAGAGCGGGGGGCTGGTGTGGCCCCAGCAGCTGCCACCCCGCCTCGCTTCTACCTCTTCTTCATCCTCTCCTTCACCACAAGCCACTGCCAATACCCCATCTCAACCAAAAGCCTTTGTCAAGATAAAAGCTTCCCACGCTCTGAAGAAGAAGATTCTCAGATTCCGCTCAGGGTCGCTTAAGGTCATGACTACTGTATGAGAAAATTGTCAAACTAGTTTTAAACACATACTCGTCAGTAACGTACTTGGCACCAAATCCTATGTCAAATATCACATCCCATCTTTATATTCAATATGTCAATATGTCATAGTGAGATTCCTTTACATGTATTGGCATGAATAATGATCTATTCAAAGATCTTTCATTTGTACTATCTGGTTAAATGTATCTTCCAGTTGACAACCATCAGACACAAGACTAATGGGCAGTATACTGCTCTAATGGATGACAACTGATACCAAATGACATGTACCACCTAGAAGCGGAGTGACTGAATATGCTGGCAGTTTTTTCTCTGTTTCATTTGCTCTCATCAGACAATTGTGGTTAATTAATGTATTACTGATATTTTCACCAAGTCGCATTATTAGTCGAAAAACTATATCAAATCTTTGTGATACAGGCCTTAAAACATACTAGGTAAATTTGCTGTGTTCAGATTTCATAATAACCTGGTCTTTTTTAAAGATTATGCTTTTTGCTGAAAGTCATAAAGTAAACAGGAATTTCTTTGAATTCTTTGTGCTAAACTGCATTCAAACGCAAGCAAAAATCGACATATTAGCAGAAAATCTACAACTAAACTTTGCAGTGCACTTGAAATGTTGGATTAATCCACTAGAATTGTGCTAATGAATATCTCCCTATTCCTACAAATTCACAATCCTCTGTAAGAAAGTCAAGGGAACGATTTAGAAATGTGGTATAAGTGTTAAAACTTAACTGAATAACCATGTTTAAATTTGGTTTCCTGCAGACTCAAAAATCCTGCACCAACTGTGAGTCTCTCAGCAGGGAATCAATGCACACACCTCTGCATATCCAGCTGTTACTGAGCTCCTCTTAGTATGTCCTGGATTCACTGCAGTGAACTTCTTACTACCTCTCCTCTGCAGCCAGTGAGCATAAAGAACCAGACATCCATGTGTCAGGGATGGATTTATTAGAGGCCACACTAAGGGGCCTGTGTACATTCATGCATGCATGTTTAAACTCACAGATTCCCTGAAACACTGGGACCTAGACACTGTAAATAAATATGTGGCCTTGTTTGGAACAACTGTAGTTTGTAAATAAAGAAAGCATTTCACTCAGTTTTGATATTTTAGCACTTTTTTGTTTATTCTTAAATCAAAAAAGACAATGTGTTAACGAGCAAAATGAAGGTTAATATATTCTTAATATTTCATATAATGCAAAAATTAAGGTTCTGTTTTATATGTTAAAAGTTAGAAATGCAGAAATCCTGATTGAAAACTTTCAAGAATACATTTTCCCCCCATGTGATGTTAAGCTCTTTGCTTTAACCTTGTGAAGGACTGGTAATCCACTGTAGGATGAGAGGATGGATGGATGGATGGATTTGCAGCTCATGACCAACTCTCTCTGTTGAGTATAGTATGAAAGTATCTATACAGCCAATAGTGTGTATTGAGCCTTGATATGTAATAGCAAACTATATGTAATGGTAAACAATATTAATAGTTATGTAATGATGGTCAAACCCCAGATTTGACTATTTATCGTAGCTCTTGTCTCTTTCTAGTCTCTTTGCCTCAAAATACCTCCATCATATAGATAGAAATATAAGTACATATATGTACATTTTTTTTTACATCAACTTTCAAGATAAACATCACAAACTCAAGCTTTAAAAAAATAAAAAATTTTATCAGCTGTTCTTTGAAAGAGACCACCAAGTCATTGTGATGACCATAAGGTAGAGAGTTACAGAGTTATAGAGTCTGGGGGCCACTGTTACAAATAGCTCTCATTCCATTTAGTGCCTCATGTAATGCACAACCAGTATCTCCAGGTGATCAGGAGGTGATCACACGACCTGCTGGGGACGTATGGATGTAAAAGTTCACTAATGTATGCTGGTGCTTGTCCGTGGTCAAAATTTGAATCTTAAAGTGGAGACTGAATTTAATGACGACCCAGTGCAGCTGGGTCAGCAACAGTGGGACATGAGAGTACCTGGAAGATTTAGTCAGAAGCCTTGCAGCAGTGTTCAGAACAACCTGGAGTGTTCAGGAGTGAACAATGGATTTTAATAATCCACACATAATGAAAAAAATGCAAGAAAAACACATTTAGTTCAGAGCGTCACACAATGGGACTTCACTTGTTTCGTAAGCAGACATTTGAGATGAACATTCAAAGTGAAAACAAAAGTCAAAAACTACTCGAAGATTCCTGATTTTAGATTTAGCAAAATGTAGCAAAGGACCAACTACCAGCTATTAATAGAATCTAAGCACCTATGCAGGATCTATGGCTCTGAAACATACTGGGGCTTAAAAGAGATATATAACTGAAGATCATAACTGTTAATAGCAGTTATAACTGGTATTAATAGTTTTGATTTATTTTCAAAGAGTTCTACAGCTAATTGAGTGTCAGCCATTTAGAGTGTGTCTGCCTCTTGTGGTCTATGAAAACAGCATGTATACAAGAAGATGGAATCAGCATTTTTCTATAATCACTGCGAAAAAGTAATCAAATCTCTATGTATTTTATTTCTGCTACCAAACTATACTAAAACATGACAAAAAGTCAGAAAATGCATCATATACATAATGCTCTGAAGTAATTCTTTTGTGACAGCCAAAAATAGAACTTTCATGAGTTTTGTTGCGTAAGACATGGATTTTTACAGAAACCTTACAGTGTAACTATCAGTTCTGCTTTTGAAATCTTGAAATTTGACTTGACTTACCACCCAAATTCACTGGAAAAAAGTATTTCGTGTTCACAGACTTAAATCCAAGCCAAAGTCTTTTGCTAAACTTCATGACAGAAATGTTTATGTTACAGCAGTCCTTCATATGCAAGAAAGTTATATTTTTGTCATTTCTTTGCCACTGCTGGTGCTCTTGGTGTCCACATTAGTGACACTCTTCTTGGTGGTCGGTTCCTCGCCCATGAAGTGGAAGATGTTACGCAGGGAGCGGTTCATACTGTCTTTGAAGCTTTGACCCAGACACACATAGAGCAGAGGGTTGAGGCAGCTGTTGAAGTAAGCCAGGCAGAGCGCTATAACGTGTGCCAGGTGAAGTTTGGGGCTCGCATAGGTACCCCGAGGGGTGGTCAGTATGAGGAAATCCACGATGTGCAGAGGTATCCAGCACAAGAAGAAGCTCAGCACCACAGAGATGACAACCCTCAGGGTTTTCTTGGATCCAGTCCGACTACGTGTCATTCTCCTCTGTGTGTTGCGGAAAACCACCAAGTGACAAACTAGAATAACCAGGAAAGGAATAATGAATCCAATCAGGAAGCGAAAAGCAGAGACAGGCCAGGCACTGTCTACAGTGTACTCCATCCTACACTCTCTCTTCTCGTCACCTGCCTTAATCTCCTGGGCGTACACAAACTGTGGGATACTGCCTATCAGGGCCAGGACCCACACAGCAACACATCCATAAGCACCCCGTTTGGGTCGCCTGTGGTTCTGACACCAGATGGGTCTGATGACCAGCAACAAACGATCCACGCTGATCACAACCAGCTGCAGGATGCTGCAGTACATCACCAGGTAAAACAGGCCTCTGATGAGCATGCAGGCCAGCGGACCGAAGTGCCAGTGATCGTCGTGGACCAGAGGGACCATAAGCAAGGGGATGGAGAGGCAGCACAGAAGATCAGCCAGAGCGAGGTTGAGGAACCAGAGGGAGGTGACAGAGCGGGACATGCAGAACCCCGTCACCCACACCACCACAGCATTTCCAGGCACACCCAGCAGGACCACAAGGCTGTACATGACCAGAGCCACTATCTGGATCGGCTGAATCTCAGGAGTCACAGACTCAATAATGTCAGGAAATGTGAAATTATCATCAGGAAATGTGTAATTATAGTCACTGAAATCCATGATTCCTTACAACTGTGAAGTATAAGAAACATTTTCATAACTCACTGAAATAATACAATTCAATCAAGAAAAAATATTTATTGACTTTTTAATTAATTTTAGTAGTACCATCAAGTTTAGACTTCAGTATTCAGTATTAACTCACCGATGTTCAGCCTCTCGTTATGTTGCTCTGTCACCACTGAGAGGAAGTTGTTGAGCTGGTTTGCGTCTCAGCTTTATACTCTCACCCCACCCCACACAGACACAGTTGCACATGATCTCTGTTGAGAGTCCTCATTGTAGGCGTGAAACTGCAGTCACAAAATTGGTGAATCTAAAAAAAAAAAAAGTTTTAATTGCAAAAAATTCATTTCACAAGAAATAATTAGGTCACAGGCCTAATGACCAAGGTCACTTCTGCGACCTAGGTCATTAGGTCACAGAAGTGATGTGACAATTTGTAATATTTACTTTATTCGTGTGTTTTGCACCTGCAAGTACGCACAATGTAAGAAAAGAATATAAAAATATACAAATTAGAATTCAGTTATTTTGAGCTGAGACCTGAAATGAATCTGCCTGAGGTTAAAATACAGATCAACAGATGTGTTTGAAGGATGTGGTCTAAAGATCATGGTGGCACTCTAGCTGCCATTTCAGTGAATGTGGGAAATGTGCAAATCCCACAAACATGATAACCTCCCACTTATTTGAATGCAAAGACTGGTTTGCAATAAGAAACTTTTGTGTTCTCAGTGTTATTAATATTGAATTCAATTTGATTGAGTTTGATAGTATATGTTTTTCACCAAACAGATTTAACTTTGTTCTAAGTTACAAAAAAGAACAGTTTCAATTTCATTTCTTTTCACTGGTTGCTTAATGTGGGTTATAAAAGAGAGCGAGTCATCAATTTTAATTCCTAAGTACTTGTGCTGACTGAGATACAAGCCCTGAACTGTTGTAATACCTGAAAGGTTCAGTGGTTTAGATTTTGAATTTGAGAACATCGTGATCTGTTTAGTTTTGTCAACATTTAAAACGTTTTAAATCACAGTTAATGCTGTACTGCACTGAATGCTGGCTGGAGATGACAGAGAACCTGATTAAGTGTGGGTGCAGAGGAGTATATGAACATGTCATCAGCATAAAAAGTAAACTTTGCTGTAGTGATATTATGATTATTCATATATAAAATAAATAACAGTGGCCCTAGAACAGAATCCAGGGGCACTCCTTTGTTTCATTAAGGAA